ATATCTTTCGGCACATAATGTTGGCAAATTACAAAAAATAGTTTTAAAAACGTATAACGAAAATTCGAACACAGAAGGTTCATAACTCGAACAGTAGGTATATTAGCAAAACTAACGAATTCGACCACTTCTCAACATCTTAAAAATGGTATATTCGAAGATGTAATCGGATATAACAATATTCCGATAGGAGGTCAGTGCTATTATTAGGCCATTCATAATCGACTACTCCTATCTTCCGAATCTCCGGACACAAAAGCGCTACAGTTCTGTTGTACTGGTCCAAACGAGGCCCATAAGAAAATGCTACTACTCGCATAAACAGTGGTGTACATACCGTCATGCAAAAACCAGCAGTCAATCGACGACTGGTCAATCACTGAAATGTGCGATAGCTCATTACGAAACACCAGATCCCTAAGCAGGAGCTGAAATAGGTACAAAAACATGCCTGACAAAACTTAGAACAACAGAAACATCTCGAATCTTAGATTCTAGCTTTAAAAAATGAACGTTTTGACCATAGTAAGGAAGGAGAGTAGCGTTCAGGCGCAAACAAATTACAGGTGAAAGAGATCAGCTGTACAAACGCGTAATCACTCGAAAACGACAGATAGCCTATTGGTAATTGAAGGACATGAAGTTACGCGGTACGGCAACAGTGGATTAATACCAGCATAATATGCTTATTAGCATGCGCTAACGGAGTAGCGTTTGGACCTGAACAAACCCTCGTTCAACTCAGCGAGTGACGTGTTGGTCCAACCTTTGCACTGCAGGCGTTCAAATACTTTGAAACCGTGGCGAGCTTAAATGGACCTCTAGGCGACTACAGTCAAAGGCGTCGAGCAATACTGCGGTACAATCATTCTTACACCACGGCGGTGTCAGTGCAAATTAAGAACGTTTTTTCTTTATTTATACAATATAGTTCTAGCGTTGCAATCTGGAACCTATATTTTATTCTAGTATGCATTTTCACTGCACCAGAAAAATAAAGCAAAAGTGGTAAAAACCGAAGCAACAGGTTCAGATGAGAAAAGAAATGAGGTAATGATAAATGAATCTTCGAAGCTCAGCATACATATTCACAACAGCGCTTGAATTGTTAAACAAGCGAAAAATAGATAAACGCATTAGCCTTCGATGCTCATTATTTATACTCAACCGTTGCTACCAGTCATTGGTTACC